ATACGTTTTGCTTTGGGGTTTTCTTTACATTGTCCGCTGCTGTAAAACAAAATATGCCCCAGGGGGGGACAATAAAGACTCTGTCTCATGTTGTTGTTGAAGCCAATACTTTGGCTCCTCTCAGGAAACAGCTGGATGAAAAGCTTGGCTCAATTAGAGACTAGTGAGCTAACGAGCGAGATGGGAGAAATGGACTCCTCTCCTCCGTGACCTGTCACGAGACAAAGGCGGCGACAGAGCTGCTCAAAGACGGAGACGGTCTCGAGGGGGACCCCGCCAGCGGCCCGCGCACCTCCTTCTCCGTCAGCGTGAGCTCGCACAGCGCCTTGCGCTCGGCGTTCTCCCGGAAGCGGATCTCGTACAGGCTCTCCGCCATCCTGTCCCCGTCCAGCACCTCGCCCAGGCTGAGCGCCTTGTGCCGCACCTGCAAGGCAAAACCAGGCACTGGAAGAGGTGCAGGCCAGTGAGAAACAGCGCCCCCTCTCGCCGCCCCCCCCCAGGCCCAGCGGTAGAGCTGCAGCAGCTGGCCGAGCACTGTTCACGCCTGCGCACGCGGCGCACGGACCGCCAGGACCCTTCTCACACGGCAATCACAATTTCACACGCCGCGCTCAGGACAGAGCAACCGAGCACACTTTCTTCCCACCAGCTCCTACATTCAGACTTTACACACATCGGTAACCAATCAATCAATCAAAGTTGATTTCTCAAAAGCACAACGATACAGCCTGCAGCAGTAGCTGCTGGTAATGAAATGTCTAGTAGTTAGGGAGCTGCGTCAGCATGCGCAGGCTGCAAAGGAACAAGTAAAGGTTTATTCCAGGCTGAAAAGAGAAGAAAAGAAACACAACATTTCAGTTTCTGAAGAGCTGTGGAGAAGGCTCCACAGCCGAAACGTTGCGCTTCCTTCCTTTGGCACATATTGCTCACACTCTGCTCTTCCTTTACACCAGGTGCACTGGTGCTCCACACACCTGCCAGATTCTGTTCTAGACGAGCTCTCACTTTGCACAATCGGGCCCTTAATTGGCCTAGACATAGGATCAACTGGAGCTCTTTACTGGTTTTCAGTCTTGGGGGACTTAAGAGCTCAAAGCCCACCAACTCACTGGCCGCCGAAACTTGGATTCACTAGTTCACTGAAGGATCAGAAGAAAGACCAGCAGGTGTGGGCGTCACCAGGACCAGGGCTGGGAACCCCTGCGGTACACCTTACTCACAGTTCACTCACCTCCTTGGGCCTGCACACTGGCAGGGTGTAGTAATGGTAGGTCTCCTGGGGGTTGTGGTAGGGGCCAACCTTGTTCACATACAGGGTCACGGGGTCGCCCTGCTTGTAGGTGGCTGCCCCACCCCCTGAGGGGAGGACCCAGCAGCTCAGCAGACAAGCCCACAGGCCCCCGCCAGCCAATCGCAACCCCAGTCTTATCATCATGACAGCCTCTGTGAGAGGAAGAGAAGGGTGACTATAGACATCGTCAGTGACCACTGCCTGGACACAGAAACCA